ATTCTCTCTTTTACATTTCGATCAAAACATTTACGTATTTTATCTTATCCTTTTTTATTTTAACTATAAAAAATCTTAAATATTATTTCTGTCACAAAGAAATACAAATATTATTGAACATAAAAAAAAGAAAAGAAATGAAAAATTAAATTGCTATACTATATTCATAATTTTAACCAAAGAATTTTAGTTTTGATAAAATTTTGACAAACATTCACCGAATGAATCTTGTCGGATAATTCAGAAAAGGAGGTTATCCGTCGGACGTGAAAAGTGTTCACTTGTAGTTCTATTACGCGTTATATATTATACCCGGTTATAATGCTCGGTGAAAGGGTTAAAACCCCAAACAGAACGAATACATTTCCTTGCTGAAGGAGAGAAACAGGAAGCTAAGGCGTTTATTACAAAGGGAAAGAGGAACGAAACAGCGTAAACTATGAGTATACGCTATTTATATACAATATATTCACGAGTAAAACCACATTTTCTACTTTATGTGACATCTATATCCTTTGTGACAGTTCAGAACGAAATGTTTTTAAGACTATTCAATGATTTATCTTACAAATACTTTATATTTTAATATTTCCAGTCAAATAAATTCATTAAATAACGAGAAAAATTTTGGAAAAATAGTAAATGAATCATTTGATTGACATTGTTGAATTTAGAATACAAACGTTGATATATTAATGTGCCATTTAATGATGGTAGACATATTAATTATATGTTAAAAATTCTGTTTAAATTTTTAAAAAGATATATCGACATGTTCATTATAATTTTTAACAAATCATTAAATTGAAAAACAAATTAAATTGATTGACATATATATTATATTTTCTTTCACAAAATATAACTTTGAAATGTATTCAAATATTTATTTATATTTAAAATAGTTTAATTCTAAAATATACGTTTCACGAATCGAATTCATTAGTACAATCGATAAATTATCGAATGAACTAATCGCAAAATTGATGCACATCAAAATCAACACTTGAAACATATGTACTATATAAACATATACATATGTACAAAGAGTTTTAACTATATAATCATATAGGATTTTATAAAACTCATATTTCACTCGTTTTCCAAATGATAATGAGTGACGAAAAACGGAAAGGAATACTATGAATATCTACGAAAGAATATCTACATCATTGAAATTCTAAGAGGTTAGAATCTCTTAACGAAAGACTCTTGAGCGGAAGTTCCTGTCAAACATGAAAAAAAGTCTAATGCATAATGTAAAAGAAAGAAAAGAAAAAAAAGTTAATTTGTTTACATAAGTCTGTGTTCTTGGAAAAATATTTAAAATTGATTAAATAGATTGTTACATACAATCATACTATAAATTAATTCTGGAATTTTTTCTAAGAAATTAAATAATTATCAATATTATATTTTTTTATAGATACAAATTTTTATATCTTATAATTATTCTGTATTTAAAATACATAAAAGATAAAATACATTGAAGATACAAAAGTAACAATAATTGACAATGTATTAAAATCGAACAAATAAAAACATATACACGTATCTTACTCATAAGAAAGATTATTTCTTTCTTTTTTTTTTCTTTAATATGAAAAAATAACCAATATTTGAATTTCAAATAATTCTGCTTAATATTATGTCAAGTTTTTTTTATTTATTGGATCTTTTATCATTTTATTCTTTTCATTGCCCAGAGAGGAAGAAATAGTCCGGTTTGAATTACGAAACTATTGTAGATATTTTTTTCCCAATAGAAATCTATATCCCGACAAGCAGCTTTTATGATTATACGCGTGATATGGTATCTAGGTATGGTACTGACAATAGACCTCGATCGCAACCCTCCCACAAGCCGATATGTCTTGCTGACAATTTAGCAGCGTGATTCGAATGATACTGTCGATACGACAAACTGCTCGGGGAACATGAGATGCTAGCAAATTGGCGGCAACTATGTCGCCAGATGTACCGCAAATTGAGGTTAATTAAAGAGGGAAATGTAGCGTGGTAATACGGTCATGATACATTTAAATGCATTTATATTCTTAATGGACATTAAGAATATTCGTGCACGAACTCAGCTATAATGCACAATATAACACGATAAAATATACAGGATAACTGGAAATTAAATGCACTAATTTGATGTACAAAAGTATTTAGATATTTAAATTTTACATATTTTTTTCGAACTATCAAAATTTTAATTAATTTTAAATTTAGCAAACAAAAAATCTATTTATTATTATTTATTTGAAAATTATGCTTGCTACTGGATAATACAATTTAATAAATTATAAACATTAAACTTTTATTTTAATTTAAATTATTAAAAAAATTTGAACAAATTTTCAAAGTTTTACTTTCAGTCAATTATTTCAATTTGCATGGGGAAGATATGAATGTCCAATGATACTAAGAATCCAATGATACACGTAGACTCTACGATAAACAGAAAAATCAGAAAATGAATGTCACTCACATTTCAACACTCATACATCAAACTATCCGGTTATTCATGTATGTATACGAAATGAAAAAAAAAAAAAAAAAAAAAANAAAAAAAAAAAAAAAAAAAAAGAAAAAATTGAGATAGTTTTCTATGGGCGAAATCGAGTCTTTCGAGATCCCGCGAAAAATATGCGTGTCATAGTATCATCACGAAACCTATTCTGACACGATAAAACACGACATCGCGAGTTACTCACATGTGTCAAAGCCTGTATTCTCTCTTCTTTTTCTCTCGCACCCTCTTTCTCGCGCGTAATATGATTCCATCACGGCAATGGCAAATATTGCACGCAATTTCCCCTCAAATTACTCTCGTGTAACTTAATTCGCTAGCGATGGTGAAGCGCGTCAACCCTCTTTTTTTCTTTCCATCAACGATAATTTCTCTCACGGTATCGGTCACACAGATACGCTTTTTTGTCTCGGCGAATATTCGATGTTCATGTCTAGAACTGAAATCCATTCTATCAAGAACTGAAATTTTACCACGTTCTTTTCATACCGCGATTATGATATCATAAAAATAAATCGTATGTAAATGATATAATCTATACAAATGAATGTAGATTTTAAGAAAAAATACAACGTAATTTATATAAATATTTCCCATGTGATTTGATAAATTATTTTTTTATATAAAATCAAAAGAATAATTGAAGGATTCGAGAAAAATTCGAATAATTAATCGATTGGTAAAAACATTTATATGAAGATTTCAATAATTCTAAATATGTATTTATTTTTGCTATTTGCGGATAATAAATGCAATGCCATTCAGTTAGCAAATCGTGAGATCAACAAATCCATGGTTAAAGTCTCTCAATCTCATATGTTACCACAATCAAATATCATTTATCGTTAACGCAATGTGGTTTATTCCATTAAATTACTAACCTTCTATGAAAATTAATTCAATGTCTCTGGTAAATGCCATCTATTGAATCGAAGTTAAAACATTTGCTCTTCGAACATTGAAATTGCTTGGAAATTTTGAAGAAAAATTTCTTAAAAACATTATATTGTTGCGCACATTAAAAAAATAAGTGATTCATTTTACAGTCACATTTAATAATCAAAAAGAAATACAAATATAACTATTTCTTCATTGTTCTCATTTTCGTCTAAACTAAACGCAATTGAATTTATAAATTACCGAAGGAACAAAGAAAAAAAAATGATATCCGGATCGATGTATTTTTCTCCAGTTATTTGCTCCTGAGGGTTATTGCAACATCACAACGCCTACTTGATATTCTTTAATGAATTAACACACAAACATGCAGAAAGTGACGTATATAGCTCGAAAAAAATCGTTAATCATCGGTTATTTCACGGAGCCCTATTCGTAATAAACGTACATTATAGTTTTCATATCAAGAAGTTTAGACCTTGTTGCGCAAAAAGCTGAGAGACTACGTAGTATGTCAATGTGCATGATCTATATATATAATATAGTAGTTTTTATGGAATATGTTATCATCCATTAAATATATGTTTTCTTTTAAAAAATTGTTAAAAGAAGTAATTATTTTATAGAGTATCATTACATATAAAGTATTACCATATAGATAGATCTTTTTGTACTTTAAATAATTTATTTTAAAATTCTAAATCAATACTGAATATTTGTTATTATTCAAATAATACCAAATTCAATATAATTTACTTAATTTTTTTGCTTTGCTTGAAATTATAACTAACAAACAAATTCGTATTTTTATAAGACAACTGGAGATGAAATACTACGTCACATAAATAAAGAAATTTTATTTGAATATAAAACAGAGACTATCATAATATTTATACATTTCTTTTTTAATGATTAATGACATTTTATATTAGATACTTAAAAAAAAAATTAAAAAAGATAAGAAAAAAATTAAATATAAAATAAATTAAAAGAAATTTTAAAAGAAATTTTGATGATACATCACATTTTATGTTTAGCTATCTTCAGATCTATTTTCAATTCCAACAAAAGATTCGATTTCTCGTATAAAACTTAAAACTACTTTCGAACTATCGATCGAAATGTGTACTCAAAGCGTTGGCAAAGTTCCTTCTAATGAATTCTTTCCGCTCATGGGATTTGCTGCCTGTAATTCGAGATGCAGATCGATGTCTGTTTTCAATAAGAAAAATAACGTGTAAAAAAAATCGAAATATGGGGGACTTGAAAAACATATTAATTGTTTTCATGAATCATTTATCAAAAAGTTTTATGTCTCAAATATATTAAATGCAATTAGAAATTCTTCAAATTTGAAAAAAAAAGATAAAGAAAAATATTAAAAAACACGTTGTTTATTATTAAAAAATAAAAAATATGTTTATAAAAATATTAAAAAATTGTTTTTTAAATGGATTAATAATAAATTTTAATAAATACAAATTTTATTGATTTTATTTATAAAGTATTTATACAAGAAATCTTTTATGAAAGTATGCTCAATAATGATTTCGATCTTCTTATTCTATAGAAAATCGATACTTAAGACGTATGGTTCATCGAGAAAGACCGTCTAGCAAGCATATTATGTTAAAAAGAAACGACCAGCCACGATTCGTGGATAGAGGGTGAAAGAGAGAAGCCGATAGAGTCCATCGATCGTCGACAGCAAACACGCGCGCGCTCGCCGAAAAAAGGATCTGAAAACTCATCTCGATAATAATCGAGAGAATTATGATTGTGTTTCTATAGCAGTTTTGTATTTTACACTAACGTTTTAAAAATTCGATTCCAAATTGTAGGCGCGAAATAAAATACTCAATAAGATATCTATAGAGAGAAAGAGAACAGTAAATTACAGGGCGGGTCTTGTCGAGGAAAATCGATGAGGAATATACGGAGAGAGTATAGAAACGAAGCACGATAGTATTCTAGGAACATTCATTTGTCGCGTCTTCATCGACGACGCGCGATCACTTCCGCTACTGAATCCCGCGCACATAAAAGAGCCACCATTTTCACGCTCGTGATCAACATTAACAGTTATAAACAAGAAGAATTTGAAGGAAATAAAACAAATAATAAATATTACATACCTCGCGCCGTCTCGAAGATATATACGTTTTCTTCTGTAACTTATCTCCCAGGAGCAACCCGATGACTCGGTGATCCTGCTGACGTTACGTATGTATGTTGACACACTCAACGGTGCAGGTGGTGATAACAACGACGTTGGTAGTAATTGGTAATGGTGATGTAGTAGTGATGATGCTGGTAGTAGTTGAAGATACGAAAAAAATATATACGTGTAACGCGACTGCGCCACTGGACCGAGTGAAACTGGCTCGAAGCGAGTCTACTGACTACTAAAGCGACGTGGTATAAACCGTGTGCGTTCTCGTCGCGGTGCTACCGTGTACTACGTGTTGCTGCTGCCAGAGCCACTACCGCTCTATCCGTTCCACAATCCGACCTCTTCTCTCTTCTGCGTGTGCCTCTCTACTCTCTACCATCCCTCCGAATCCACACAACCTTCGTACAAGCAGCGGCGCGGGGTTGCCGCTACCAACATCGCCCCATCGTTTCGCAGCGCTGAAGGATATTTTCAAACGTATATACCTGCAGAAAACCGTTACTATTTTGCATCGTTGCCCTCAGTTTTATTCTATAGTTATAGAAATGATAAATATTGTATCGCTTCTAGATAATGTTACTAATCATTTTCATTATAATGATAGGATTAAACAAAAAGAGATGAAGCCAAGTAGGATTAAATCGAAAATAATCTAGAGAATAAATATGGATTAATGCCTCAAGATGAATATATAAAATTAGTAGAGGTTTTTGTTTGATTCGTTTAAAGGATTAATATTAACAGAGAGGCAACGATTATTATGGTTAGAAACACATATAAATTTATATTGTATGAGAAAAGTATAAATCGATAGAAATGAAAATACAAATAAAATAAGATATTATAAGTGATAGTACAAAAAATATATAAGATTTAAATTGAGAAATTTAATTCATGCTGTTATATTTTATAAGTTTATTTTTATCAATATAATTACGTTAAATTTTTTTTTATTATTTAAAATTATTTAAAAATTATAGGTAACTTTGCTCACAATATATTTTGTATAATATGACATTATCATATCTGTTAAAATACAAAATTGTTCAATTTTTATGTTTATTTATTGAACAAGAAATAAAAAAAATAAAAGCAATTTCAAATTATATTACCAAAAAAGTGATAATATATTTTAATTAATGTCGTATTTTCTATGTAAACCATGTTACTATCATTTGTAAATGTAAATTTGCCACGACACACATACATTACCTGATAACTTGTCTCTCGTATCTAGCAAACGATTAATCTCTGTAACGTGGTGATTAAACTACGACTGTGTGGGCAAGAATATCGATTCAAACGAATCAGATGCAAAACATATACGATATTCGTGTGCGTGCAAGTACTTACATGAGTCGAGGAACGGTTAAACCGTTATGGGGACAAAAAAAGCGCGCTAACCAACTTCAATGTTGACCAATAGTCGTGGCACGTTTCTTGTTCAACCTACACATAAGTGAATACCTACAGATAAGTGAATTCTGGTAAAATTTTTTGTCGTTTAATACCTTGACTTCAAAAGTCAATAGGAGAAGGAAAAACAAGAGAATAACTAGATGAACGGAATGCTCGTACCATATATTGCGCGAGTATGTTTTACCAGTATCCTCCTTTTCTTGGAATAATAACAAAAAACAAGTTAGATCTTCTTCCTTGCCATGCTCTTATACATTTGTTGGTTCCTTAATTGCCAACAGAAGTGGTTTCTCGCTCACAGGACATATCTCTAGATTGATCTCTTTTTAACTTATACATTGAAATGCTTCGACCTTCCATACAATTCAGTTTCACAATCGTGAGACGATCAGAAGAAAAATTGCTGCACAATTCATTGCTCTGATAATGAGTTTAAAATTTCTTAATAATCAGAAAGTGAATTTAAAACAAATATTTTACGATTTTGTTATGGATATATCTTAGATATTTCATCGTATTTATGAGATAATAAATCGTTGAAAAAAAAAGAAATATTATAATATTATTAAAGTCATTTTAAAAAAAAATTAATAACATAAAAAATATTTTTTGATAATTTCTTTAAGTTTATATTCATTCTAATACTTTATAAATTGATATTGTATATATATACATTGAATATAATAAAAAAATATTGCAAAGTATTAACATGACGTCTCTGGGTTAGCAGGTTGATATCGAATAAAATGAAGACTTACACGCGATCATACTACGTATATACGGTTGATACGCATACGAGAAATGGTTGTCAGAAGTGACACGGTATGAGGGAGTAAATCACATCGGCATTAAGACAATTAGATGGAGAACGATGGGTTCACTTCAGTTGGTTGACATGTCTTGGACAGAAACAGATGTCTAATATGCCTTTTATTTCGACTCCGTAATCATACACGTATATGTTAAACACTTATTCGATCCACAGGACGTACGTAGGATAAACGCATGGGCGTCGATGCGAAGCATTAAAAATGAGGAATAATATGACACATATTTTAATCATATAATTTTTTCATTACGAAAAAGTTATATATAAAATTTTTATTTAAAATATGTGTAAATATTACCTCAAGAAATGTAAAAATGTCCAAAAATATATACATAAATTTAAAGTTGTATTTTATAAATAAATTGTTAGCGACGACCATGTGCATGATACAATTCAAAGAATATATATGCATGCAAAAGTCTATTTGTGGTCGTGCAATTGTACGAAGGAAATGAGATCAAGTTTGAGTGATTACAGCAGTCGAAGAGAAGAGGAAAGAGACAGGGAATGGAGATAGGACAGTTCAAGAACCGAATCTACAGATTACCAGCTGGATAAACTGGAACAACTGGAACAAACGAAGTACCAGATTTTTACGAATACTAAGTACATCGTTTTTTTATTAATATTTAGATTATGAAAATATATTACGATATGAAGGTATAATGGATTTTTTTAAATAATTACTTTGAAATAATTACACAGATCTGATTAAGATTGCTTTCAAAAATAAACATTTATTTCAAAATTAATGCTTACCAGCTGTATCCTAAAAACTAAGATCTATCCTATACACTGACTGTGTTTAGGTGTTATTTTCTTAAGATTTCTTAAGAATTCATTGCATTATTAAGTTGTGTACAATTTTTTGTCTGTTTGTGTAGTACCGTAATAGCTTTCACAGCAAAATTAAACATTTTCTGATTTATATCATCACATGATTTTCTTGCACACATATATTACATTCAAATGACGGTACCAGAATGTATTTTGCACATATGTAATATTTCAACACTTGAAATCATGCTTACATACTGGTTCACGTACTATTTTTTTATCACCAAACTTAAATCGGTCGATTTTCATTCTCCTATGTCTTGATAAAGATTATAATGATAGTACCGCTAAATGGTGATATCACATTTATGGTTCGGAGTATGTACTGTTTGGTCAGTTTAGAAAAAAATGTAACACAGACCTAAACAGTTTCTTTCGCAGATTGTACCAACTCTCCAAATGAGGTTTCCAAACATTGTCGTAATTCTGCATAACTTACGACTAATACACTCTGTTCGTCCCGTGACATCAAACATATCTATAAAAAAAAAAAAAAAATATTATTTATAAATACATATTCAAAAATAACAATAATATTTTAATTATTATTTTAATTATTTTAATATTATAGTATTAAAAGAATTTAATTAAAAATTTTTTTAATATCTTATTTTTTATAAAAAATTTAAATTGTTTGTAAAAGAAAAGAGATAGAAACTATTTTCGAAAAAAGCATACTTTATCCTGAGAACCTGAGTCCAATTTGTTTAAACAAGATACGACATGTGCCATATCTAACCATGGTCTTCCATCAGCTGCTACCTGGTGGAAAACATAATCCCTAAATAATTTGAGCATATATCGATCACCCGTCTCTGCCCAAGTAGGTTCCATATTAAGCTCGGGTCTTTCGTTAATAGTAGCCAATTTTACAAGTAACTTAAATAATCTTCCATTTTCCAACTCCTTGGCAAGTTCGTTTTCTAATACATCGGATCGGAGTTGAGCTGCGTCTAATTGCGTATAAAATCGTGCTCCAATCATTGGCATGAGATCTGTTACACTTTTTCGTGCTTGATTAGACAGTAAATACCTATAAAATTATATACATATATAAGCACACGCGGCTATAAATATGAGCAATATGTCACTCTATATTTTATCGAAAATTAAAGTCTTTCATATCAAAAATAATTTCATATAAAAAATATTTCAAAATTTATATTAATTATAATTATAATATTATAATTAATTATTTCAAAAAATATATTATATATAAAAATATATATAAGAAATTAAAATATATTGAATCAAATCATGAAAGAAATATTATTTTTGCATTTTAAAAATTAATAAATAAAATTAAAAAAAAATAAGATTTATACAAACAGAATAAGATTTCGAAGATCCGTGGAATAGGAACGTGCGACGAGTTCAAGAGAAGCTTGCATGTTGTCGCGATGGACGGCAAGGAGACTGCGACATGCTAATGCCAACACCAACTTTCCTAAAGCAATTAAATCTTCTTGTTGGTAATGTGGTATAAGCGAAAGTGGATTTGATGAGCTTCCATCATAAGTAACAACATCTGGTATAGCTGCACAACTTAGACGAAGTCTTGTTCGCGATGTGAGTAACACTTTTGTAGGATCTAAACATCTGTATGCCAACCCTAAATTATAAAATAATCATAAATTTTATATAATTATCTATAAAATGAAGCAAAATATATAATAATATTATTAATAAATACAAACCAGCAGCATGAATAACACGAAGAGCGGCAGTGAGTTGAATTATATAGCTCCATATAACACTTTCTGGTAGCATACTACTATGCTGTTGCCTCAAAATAGTATTCTTAGTGTGGCTATAAGGTCGAGGCGCATTTGGATCTGAGGAAAATGGATCTGTATAACCATTTAATTCGGTTGCTGAGAAATGTTTGGTTAATAATGTTTCCGATCCGGGATGGTAATCGTAAACAAATATCATGGCTAAAATAATAAAATTGTTTTACAGAAACATATTTATCAATTTTCTTTTAATATATTATAAATACAAGTTACAATACAAACAATTATCACCGAAAGCCTTGGTAGTAAAAACTTCTCTTAATTGCACCAAATTTGTATGTGATAAGCGTTTCCACATATCAACCAGCACCATACATTTTGTATTAGCAAGTCTGAAATCTAAAAACATATTAAATGCTTATTTCAATACCAAACATTTTTTATTTATATATTGTTTTTTATTTATATATTATAAATAAGTAAAATTTATAACAAGATAAAAATATTTACCGTGTATACGTCGTAAACAATAACGTGTACCACTTTTAATACTAGTAGCTTTGTAAGTTGATGTTTGATATCCAAGAATTGTTGATGCAGGTTTATGAATTGGTTCCAGTGGGCACAACTCATGATAATTATCTACTTCGTTTGGTAGATCGGGAAATCGTACTATATCAGGTTGTGCTAATGTTAAAGCATTTTTTTGAAGAATGTCCATTCTTAAACTTTCACTAACAAAAAAACTAAGTGCTGCTTGAGGAGGTGGGGTTGAGGGAGCAGAAGAACTATTAGATGATGGAGGTTTTGTAGATTTTATTGGTTGGAGATGTGCGGGAGTTCCTGGATAGACATAGCCTATCTGACCTGCCCCCACATTTCCAATCTGTTCATAAAAGTATTCATTAATTCATTAATTAAGAAATAAAAAAGATTTCATTTGAACTTCTAAATTTGCTTACAGTTTCAGTTCCATCTTCTGTTCCAACAGTATCTGTTACTGCATTTCCAAGATAAAAATAGGTAGTACCACCCACATTTTCTTGTGAATGATAAGAATTATTGAAAAGATTTGGAGAACTACTGTTGCTATTAGTAAGACCTCTTCCTGGTACAAATTCTGGACTGGCAGTTACCTTTTTCTGTGAATCCAGAGAAAGATTTGACAAATGTTTGGTAATAGTAGTGGTACTTAGAGTTACTCCAGGGCTTTGACGATTCTATAAAAAAATAGATAATAAGAAAATAAATATAAATACATTACTTTATATATATGATTTTTTTCTTCAAATAAATTTTAGATGAATAATGTAGATGAATAATACATTACCATGTAGGTAGCAAGTTTGGACTCCAGTGGAACTCCATTCGTTTGAGGGGTATATGTAACAAACATTGATGGGTCCATCTCTGCTTCAACCACTGCATTTACTATAACACTTAACCCTCACTTCTATTTTCTGTATTTTTCTTCTTGCAGAAAATCCCTTCCCTCCTGTTTTTCTCAGTGGGAATTAACAAATGTACTTTATTTCAATTATATTTCCTTATTAGACAAATATATAATTCGATATCAATCTCCAAAGCCTATAACATATTTTATAAATAAAAATAAAAAATAAGCATGCAATTAAATTTTACATATAACTTTCAACTATTATTTAATATTATTTTGTAACAATAGCTATAAGATTACATTATGTTCATAAAATTATATATAAAATATAAATAATTAAATATGCTTTGCCAAAAAATTCATTCATTTGTTATTGTATACTAAAATTCAAAATTAAAGATATTACTATGTTACATATAATTATCATTATGTTATTTATAATAATTTTTATTATATACTTATATACATCATTTTAATTTTTTCAAAAACATAATATTATTAAACAAATAATTAATATATGAAAAAAGAAAATATATAATTGGTTTTTTAAATATATAACAATTAATTAATTTTATTTATATTATTTTAAATTTTGTTTGTATTTGTTTGTATTCGTAAAATCATTTAAAAAGTCATGCACAAATTTGATAAAATATACCGCTTGTTATAAATGAAGCATCAACTTGCCGCGTATGATTTCAAAAGAGTAAACATAACACAAATTGTTAATTCTGAATGAAATTTCGAGTATGATGAGTCTAGCTCAAGTTATAAAAAAAAAGGAAAACCGAAATGAACAAGTAGAATCGCACGTTATAGCAATGGCAGCTGATTTTGACAATACAGCGAAAAAGACGCACAGGATATAACCTTGACTCCACGTTATTGCTGATATGAGGTATTCACTGTAATCACAGTTTCGACAGAAAGTTCGAATAATTGTGCAACAAAGGGACCAAAAACAATAAATTATGAGAACATATTCGATAAAACGCGTACGAACAGTACGCTTAGCTAACATAACCATTTACACTGTCACTGATGTCGCGTCGGTGTACGGCGCCAAAATTCCGATCTTTTCGGTTTGTGATGCACCACGATAAACACGCGTAATAAAAAACAACAATTAAAGTGATGATTGATAACAGCCTGACCGTATTATAACATATTTCCATCCAGTAGACTTGAGTAGACACAGGAGAAAGCAGCACCAATCTGATCTAATATGTTTATGGTGTTCTCCCTTTGCTTCGGCTGCCTATATGTATTTCTCTTTCTCCCTCTCTTCCTTCCCCACCCCCCTCTCCTGTTCATCGTCCTTCGATCGGAGCAGCTGTCTCTCTGCCACAGCTTGTCTCCGGGCGCGCGAGTCGCAAAACTGTATATTTACGTTTCGAACACATTATGAATGATCGCATTTCGAATTATTACTGTATTTTTCGGATCTTCGGATTAATATTTCTTAATAAGAATGAATTATTTATAATATTTTCGATACATTTAAATTCTTCTAATACATTATTAAGGAAAATCGATTATTAAGGAACAAAAACATGTCACGATTTAGTTGGTATAATACCGTGTAAAGTGTACAGTGTTATGTTATTGCGCCGCATTTAGAATATTTATATTAATACATAATCTTTTATGATTGATTAACATTTTAAAAAATATTTCATTTGTGATAATAAATATAACTAATAAATATATATATATTAGATTATTATAATATATATATATTAATTATAATCAATGAAAAAAATAAAAAAATATATATATTATATGTATATTTTTTAAAAAGTTAATTTCAAATACAATTTCAGAGTTAATATTATTTTTATTATGAAATAATTATAAGTATGCTTTATTTATTCTTATATATTTAAAATGCATACTATAATTAGATTTTTTTGTATTTATAGTCTTTCTTTATATTTTATTTCTTTTAAGATATTTTTTTTATTTTAAATTAATAATAAATATTAATATAATACAAATATTTATAATAAATATAGAAAACTTTTTTCGATACTCTAGTCTTTCTGATTAATCCATTCAATTGCATTCTTGTATCTGTTGGCAATCCTGATCAAAATACTTTTGATTATTACAGACTTCAAGTATCTGATTGTATATAGCAATTTAGAGTATCGAGAATTCGAGAACGTGCAAATTCTCTCATATTTAATTATTATTGCGATTTGCGTTTATTAATAAACGTTGCAATTTAAATCAAAAAAACTTAATAAAACATTTTATAATAATGATTATACCTGTACGCTGTTTTACCTGTGGAAAAGTGATTGGTAACAAATGGGAAGCTTATCTTGGTTTATTACAAGCAGAATACACGGAAGGGTAAATATTAGGTTATTACAAATGAAATGATTTAATTTTTAATAAAATTGATTTATAACTTTATTAAAAATAATAAATAATTAATCAAAATTTGATTCAACTAATTTAATATATTTTGTTTATTTAAAAAGAAAATTAAAATTTAATTACAATTAAAATTTGTAATTAATTGTTATTAATAACTTTTTGATTCATTTTTAATATTTGTATTTGATAATTTAAGTTATTAACATCAATAGTGGATCATTTATTCTTTTAATGTAGACAATTATTTCACTCTATTATAACAATTTTCTGTTAAATTTATAAGAAAAAAAGGCGAATTTTAAATAAGATATAGTTTGTTATAATATATAATTTATTTTTTTTAACAAAATAATAAAATGTTATTCAATTGTATTTAACTATTTTCAAGTTTTAAATTAACATGCAATAAATATTATTTAATAATGAACATTTAATTAGTAAACTGTGAATTGCATTTGTGAAGTCAGCATTTGATATGCAACATGTATATTATATATATATAATATACATTTAAATGTTATATATATGTATATATACATATATATATCTTATACTAAATTGAAAAAAACAAAATATAATTTAAATGAAATATATCTACAAATAATATAACTTATATGTTATTATTTATATTAATAAGAAATCTAAGTTGAATTGTGTAGAATTTATAAAATATAGTAATATATAAATAAATTATAAATTTTTTATTATTTTTTAGGAATATTTCCATATTTATCATATTGTCATATATATTAAGATATAATAATTTATCAAAAATTATCAATATACAATTATCAAAATATATTGTATAATATATCTTTGTTACAGAGATGCTCTTGATGCATTGGGATTGAAACGATATTGCTGTCGTAGAATGCTTCTTGGACATGTAGATTTAATTGAAAAACTCTTGAATTATGCACCATTAGAAAAATAAAAATGTAAAATTTTATATAATATTAAGATATTATTATTTATATAAAAATATATTTTTTTAAATTATGTGAGAATAGATAAAGAAAAGGAATAAATATACAAATATTATTGTAAAATGATTTGTATTTAAAAATCGTAATTATTTTTTTTTTACCAGAAATATGTAAAAATTTTTAACAATGGTATAAAAAATCGATTGATTTATAACAAGTTCAATAAAAGTTGCTTCAAAAACATGCTTTTTTTAAATATACATTCATATTAAATGCAACACAGAAGAGTGAAACATTTTCTGTATTGTGAATCACATGTATGAAATATATAATGACCTGCTTAGACGTTAAATATTACAACAACATATATCATATAATACAAACCATATAATGTATGTTATTAAATTTGGAAAAAATGAAGGTTATATTTTGAGATTCAATTATTAATTTATAAGATGAACAAATGAATATATAAAAGTTTTTTATATAATAATAATTTTTGTCAATTTTAAAAATTAATATTTTTGACAAATATAAAACTTAATTTTTTTTAGAATAAATTTCAAAAGATACAATTATACATTCAAAATAATATAATTTTTTCAAACATAATTTATGATTATTAAAATTAAAAATTTCAATTTTATTAAATAAATAATATCAAATAAATTAATTAGAACGTATTGCTCCAATGTATATTATGAATACTGTCAATTTTTTTCAGTCTAAATTTGCGAATTAAATATAATGGAATATACTATATATTATATTTTAGGAACAAAGTAAATCACAAGATACATTTTGAAACTAATTTATCATCCGATAATATTTAAAATCTTTTCATATAACCTTCTCTAACATTATTTATTCTGTAAATTGTTCGCGTGTATTATTATTACACCGAATGTCGGTTTTTATATTTCATTATCCTTACAAGAATTAAGTTCTGAAGTTCTTATTTGTATATCAACTGAAGTTCTGTTGAATTTTTTTATCTTACTAGAGCATTTCTTGTAAGCATACATTGCGTCTAAATTTCTGATATATATTTAATTAAAATTCTGATTATATTAATCTTATAAAATAAATTATTTTTAATCCTATTTTGATTTTTGTGATTGTCTTTATCAAAATAATAAAATTATCAGAAATTTATTGCATTAAAATCTTTTAAATGGTTTCCAAATTCTTTCGAAATTTGGAACAGCAATACCTAAAATTCTATATATATGTGAAAAAAATTTTCTTAACTGTATAAATTAGCGATTTGTATCAATGCACTACGAGATCCAAATACTAAAGCCATAATGCCAATAATACAAATGATTACGTTCTTCAATGCTACCCAATTTCCTGGTCCAAAACCAACGTCCCAATAAGTTACAGTTTCGACAAACACAGGAATTAAAAGTCCCAATATTGAAAAACAAAATGCACCGATTAATCCAATAAAAGGTTCAATAGTTGGTACAATAACAGCCAGTAAGACTATAACATACAAATAATAACTTGTTAAATTAATTTGTTATAATATTTAAGAATTTATAATACACTTTATAACAAAAATTACATTAACAATTAAAATACTCACCTGCTCCTGTGACCATAACTGTTCTTAAAATATAATTTGCCAACATTGGTTTTTTTTGGAATCGATCTTTTATACCGTTCCATGCAATGTCAAGGCAAACATAAAATTGTAATCCAAATGTACAATAAACAGCAAGAGCTATTAAAATCTTTACAACTTGAGCTGGTCTAAAAAAAATATAAAAAATAATTATACAAAGCATTATTTAAAAATTACATTATCTTATTGTAATTCTTACATTTCTTCTGTTGGTAAATTTAATGTTATACTATCTAAGGTTTCATCCTGATATTTTACATATCCTAAAAATCCTAGTAAAATGTATATAAGCGTAACACCGGACATTCCCTTATTTAAAACACCGCAAATTCCGACAAAATGTTGAGGTGTTTTCATGTTATTTTCCAGTGGCATTACAACTCCTAAAATAGTAAATTCATATTACTTTCTCTTAAATGTAAAATATATATATTATTTAGAATTTTTTAAATAAGTTAAGCAATACCTATTGCTTCCATTGCAAATATAGTTATACTGAAGAATCGTGGAAAATCTTCGATGGGTGCAAATAAAGGTACAGATGTAATAGGTGGCATATCCCAAACTAAATAATAAAAAGTTATTCCTAAACCTGTTCCCATAAATATATTAGCCACCATGGAAACAGGTGCAAGATATTTCAAATTTGGTATCCAGCTAAGCAATATCATTGGAATTAATAAACAAGTTGCCATCAATCGAAGACTGAATTCAGCAGATCCTTCTTCTTTATAATACTTAATGATTTGATTAAAATTTGCCGCAACAATAACTGTGTACACACTGCAGGTACCAAAGTATGTTGCAAATAAACTAATCTGTATTAAATACCTAGAGATAATATATTACATAATTATTTATCATTAAAATTGTGATTTTTGAAATGATTTTATAAATTTAGATATATTTTTATTTTATTATTATAATATTTTACCTAATAGGCTTTGAAAATTTCCTTCCCCATTGTGGGCCTGTAGCAAACGCTACTTCTGCTACATCGGCAAAACTCATTTCTGTGCGCCTCGTTTTATAATAAAGGACATGTGCACATTTTACCTAAAATATTAATTTTATATTTATTTGTATTATCTAAAATACTAATTATTTTTTTTATTGTATTATTATTTTGATATATAATTACCAAAATATATGCGCAATGTGTGCATACAAACGCCACCAAGACTGTGGCAAATATACCGACAACAAGTCCAGCATTTTTGAAAGCTATTGGCATGGATAATATACCCGTTCCAAGAGCTGC